TTTGTTTTATTTGCTGATGACACCAATATATTATTATCAGGTAAAACTGTGCAAAATTTAAATGAGGTTTTAAACCAAGAACTGAGTAGAGTTTGCAAATGGTTCACTGCTAATAAACTTGTTGTTAATATGAAAAAAACTAATTATATTGTATTCAGGAGAAGAAAGGTTGGAGGTGATTTTAATGAATTGAATGTAAAATTTGATAATGTGTTGCTCACCAGAGTTAATTCAACTAAATTTTTAGGAGTTTACATAGATGAGTACCTTACTTGGAAAAGTCATGTCAGTTACATATCTTCAAAAATTGCCAGTGTACTGGGAGTTATTTATAGTGTAAATAAACTGCTACCCCAAAAAATATTAATGAATTTATACAATACTCTAATCTTGCCACATTTTTCATATGCTGTCTTAGCTTGGGGTGGATGTTTAATTACCTTAACGAACCGTTTGCAGATTTTACAGAAAAAGGCTGTTCGTGCAATAACAAACTCTACTTATCTTGCACATACTGCACCCTTGTATAAACGCCTGAATATTTTGAATGTGAAATCTCTATATTATATGCAACTTGCTCAATTTATGTTTCTTTTCAAGAAAAATCAGCTACCATGTATTTTTAATGAGATGTTCATTGTTAATGCTGAAATTCACTCTTATGAAACAAGAAGTTCAAATAAATTTCATTTGCCCTCTGTTAAAACAACTTTTCTTCAAAGGAACATTTATTTTAGTGGACCATCACTATGGAATTTACTTCCCAATGATATTGTCAGCTGCTCATCACTTTATTCTTTCAAGTCAAAGTTGAAACAATATTTGATCTCGTATCCAACTCTTAGGATATAGTTTGTACGGTGTTTCTTTCTATTGTTCTCAATATTTCTTTCCTGTATATCATTCATTTCCTCTTTATATTGTATTTCTTGGTACCACCAACCCACTACTACTCACCCCACGCATAGATTTGCATGTAATATCTATATATGTTTTCGTACATGTATGTGTTATTGTTTAATTAAAAAAAAAAACTATTGTATTTTTATATTGTGATTTTAAGCAGGGGATGATCCCCGATAAACCTCTGTGGTTTTTGATCACCCCCTCTGCAGGTTCATCTTTTGTTGTAATACTTTTATATTTGATTGTAATTTACATTGTCTTTTATGAATCTGTGGAAATAAATGAAATTGAAATTGAAATTGAATAACACAGTGCTTCACCATGTGTTTTACAATACAATTTGATTTCTTCATCATGCTTCACACAATACAGATTGGACCCACCCTTACCTGTTTGTTCGATGCATCCCTCTTTGGAGGCGCAGTCTTCGCAGAGCTTCTTCTTCTCCTTCACGTAGTACGTCACAGCTGCGATCGCCTCACAGTTCTCACCTTCACAGATGTCTTCTGCAGATCTGAAGTTAGCCGCCATGCTGATCAGTGAATTTTCAAAAAATAACAATAATAAACATATTAATAATAATATTTATGATTATAATAATGATAATAATAATAATGATGATAATAATAGTAATAATAAAGATAAAGGTAATAATAATAATGATAATAAAGATGATTTAAATCATATAATGATGGAATAATGATAACAATAAAACTCCTTTTACTAAATATCATGATAATAATAATAACAATAATAACAATAATAACAATAAATAATAATATTGAAAGTAGTGTGTTCTGCTGCAGAGCTCATTATTTGTTTATACACTGTCGGTCATAAAGTTGGAATATTTTTGTTTTTACCCCAATTTATGGAATTATTTTGACAATGATTTATTCCTAATAGATCTAGATAATAGTATACATTCTCAGATTGTATTGAATGATAATTTGCCAGTGTTTGTTTTGCGTGACGTCTAAAGCATGTGTATGCTACTTATCAACTATCAACAATTAAAAAAACCCATAGAAAATGCAATAAATTATCAATAATTCATTGAATTACCCCCGGCCCCCAACATAAAAACTCTTTGTACGGCCAAGGCAAAAGTTTGAGGGGAAGGTAGAGACGGAGAGAGAGAGAGAAAAAAAAAAGGAGAAAAGAGAGAGAGAGAAAAAAAAAAGAAAAGAGAGAAAGAGAGAGAGAGAGAGAGAAAGAGAGAGAGAGAGAGAGAGAGAAAGAGGAGGGGGGAGGGGTAAGCAAAAAAAGAGAAAGAATGGATATCGATATTTTGTTCCTTTGATTGAGATGTCCATATCCGTCACAGGAGAGAGAGAGAGAGAGAGAAAAAAAACATCTTTCATCATTAGCAAAATGAATTTGATTTTTAATTTTTCTCTCTCTCTCTCTCTCTCTCTCTCTCTCATGATGATAGCCATATATCACGTTTCCACGTTTTTATCTCGATCAATACTAATACTCACTCTCTCTTAATTCATTCTTTTTTCCTCCTCGTCTCATATTCGTTTTAATATGCACGTTTCATAACCGTGTTATCAATGTCCATGTTCAAGGCATATATATTTCAAAACGACCCACCTCACTTCCTACACATCTCAGTTCCTGTTCTCACCTTTGTATTTTGAATCCTAAAGAAAGTTCACCTCCTCGATTGGCTGTCAAGTGATGTTTAAAGTTCGCCTGAAGAAGAATTATTCGATAATGTACTGGTGATTTGTGCAAATCAAGATCGCGTCTAAATGAATACCATCCAAATTAAACCGGACCTGACACCGTGAATGCCTTTATAACAAAGCCAACGATAATTTTCACGCACGCCTGCATGTCGTGTTGAAATTGGCAAGTAGAGGGGGAAAAAATACGTACCATTCATTGCGACATGACGGATGTGTATTAACAAAAGACAAGCCCCGCTGCACTTTGTAAATAGATCGACATTATATGTGAATAATAGTTCACTTTTACAGATCAGGCGCTTGACTGGAGATGCGAAGGTCGAAGGTTCGCATCCCGAGATGGCACTAATATGCCTTGACAAGATATTAACTTGCACTTGCTACTCTCCACCCGGGTGTTAAATGGGTACCCGGTAGGATGCGACTGCCATTGCTGGTCAAACAGTTTTTGAGCGTCAAGTAACGACTGGCTTGAATGCCCCCTAGGGGCTGGAGATCGCGCACATGGTGTCATTTAAATGTACTTTTCATTTCATTTGTTTTGAAAAGCGCTTAGAAACTGTATTGTATACCAGCGCTATATAAATCTTTATTTTATTATTATTATTTGCGGGCAAGTATCGAATCCAATGACCGGGGTAAGAGTATATCTGTAAAGCGCTTAGAGACATTTGTATTAAAGGCCCACTGCACTACTTGTAGCTACTTGCGCCCTCTCTATTTTAAACAATGCCTAATCGGTGACCATTGGTCCCCCATGATCCTCATTTTCTTATGTTAACTGAGAGCTGAGTTGATGAGATAACCACCTGTCTATTGACCTTGCAAGGCGTTCTAATTCCTCCTGTAAGCTAGTACTAATAAGCTTTAAAGGGAGTGTATCATGAGAACTACTGGTTGACGCCATCTACGTTTTCTTTTGGACAACTGCACGTAAAAACTGCGGTCGCGTCGTCCGTAGTCGTATAATACCCGATTGGCCCCGAGTAGGGCCACACTAAAGACTCATAGTCCCGTCATGATACAATCCCTTAAGCGCTATATAAAAGCGGAATATTATTATAATTATTATTAAGGAATGTATGAGCTTCATTCACAAGGCCAGTCGAAGCAGAGGAAGATGTGTGTGTGTGTGTGTGTGTGTGTGTGGGGGGGGGGGGGGGGGTCGGGGGTTACCCCTATGACTTTTTGTGGAGGGTGTAATTTCACGGAATTTCTGACCCCCTCACACGCCCCTGCTCCAGCCAGAGAATACTATTTCATAATATTTTTGCAAAACGTCATTGATGTGTGTGTATTGAGGCCGCTACAACACTATCATAATAAGCGAAACGTCATATAATTTTCATACAAATGTTTATCTATTCAGCTGTTTGTGCTTTTTGAAGAGTTATTTTGTAATACAATGGTGCTCTTTAAACGTAATTAAAACTGATCACTTTCTTTCCCTTAAAATCACCTTAACTTCCATTATACACTGTTTTATTTATTATTATAGTCTGTTAAAAGCCAGAAGGGTGTTAACTCTGTGTTTAAGTGTATGAGTTAACGCCCTTCTGGTTCCAAACAGAGTTACCGTAAGTACACTTTCTCTGGTAATTGATCCACCTCTCTCTTTCGTTCTTTTTACACATCTTTCTCTCATCACACCGTCTCCTCTCTCTATCTATTTGCACAAATTTACCTAGTTATTGACCTCCACACACTCTCTCTCTCTCTCTATCTCTCTCTCTCTTTATCTCTATTTCTCTTTGGTTATTTGCAAACTGACCACATTCCTCTGTTTGTACATGTATTTGAAAGATAAAATCGTGGTGTCAAACAGAAACAAAGGATCACGAGGGCGTCATTAAAGATATCATTTTAATAGCAGATCCAAGTTAAATATTTACAAGTTCCGGTCACTCCATCTCTAGACATACGACAACGACGATGTGAGCTGAAGCCACCTTGGATATACTATCTGCGCATGTGCAGACAGTGGTCATTTGTACAAAACAGTGAAACCCATCGACACAACACAATCATATGTCCATGAAAGTTATGTATAAATCATTATTCATTTATGCACCGACGGTACATGCTATGATACAGGTGATACAGGTGGAAGTATTATTTTCAAAATACATAATCAAACTGTATTTAACAAGCACCTTTTTTAAAGAGGTGTCGCCATCCCGACATATCGTCTTCTTGTCCTAAAAAAGTTGATTTGCCGAGTTCTAAAAATAGGTCCTCTCGTCAGTACTTTACGCGTCTTATTTAATCGTACGGCCCAAACATTAGGCAAGGAGGAACTAAATAACCTAAAGAATACCGAAGTGTGACGTTATACCGGCCAAGTTGTCAAGGTTGCCTCTTTCCAAACAAGTTTGTGCAACACAATGGTACGGTGACTGTGAGTACACCAGCCGCAAACACTGAATTTTTCATACATTGTGTGCGGGTAAGCCTGAATCCGATGACCGGGGTAATAATATGATTGCAGGGCCCTCAGGGAGAACAGTATAAATACTGATGAGGCTACCCTGGGTAAACAAGACATATTATTATTATTATTACAATGCTAAAGTCCTAATGCGCAGGCTCTGTTGTTTTGAACCAGTAACTTGAACGACGAGCAAATAATGACGTCAACACTTCGGTATTCTATTGTGCGAAATATTAGATTCGACCATTAATTACGTCATGTTACTTTGTTAGTTATTCATAGAGCGATATATGGCGTAAAGGTGTGCATAAAGGGCAGGGGAGAGCGAGGAAAGGTAAGGATACTTTTACAACGAAGAGAGAGAGAGAGAGAGAAGGGGGGGGGGGTTAAAAGAGAGAAAATATGGAGAAAAGGAGAGCGAGAGAGCGATAGAAATATAATTAAAACAAAAGGAAGTCAGGAAGAAAGAAAGAAAGAAAGGTAGAAGAGTAGAATAATTGACAATGGAAAAACAGAAACTAATTTTGAAACGTTAGAGGCGAGAAGGATATATGAGACAGAGAGGAAGAGACAGAAAGGGAAGGAAGGAAAGAGAGGGAGAAAAGAGAGAGAGAGAGACAGAGAGAGAAGGGGTGACTAAACAAAAACCGATGAAATACAAAAATATACACATTGATACATATACACATATTACTAGGAACAATTAATCGTAACGTTAATCCACCAAAACACGAGTTACTTTCAAGAAACGTTATCAAGGTTAGTGTCATTACTCTGTTGAATATCATGTTAGGATTACGTAACTAATACCTCATTACGTTGCTTGTGTATTTCAGTAGGTGTTGGGCAAGGCTACTGAGATGGTATCAGCTTGACTTTGTCAAAAGTCTATACGATCGCGTTCAAAGCGAATTAGCATTACACTATTTCAAAATATTACAACGACCTAGGTAGAAGTATAGTCTAAACGATATCAGCAAAGTGGGTTCCTTTGTTGGTGCTTGGCTCTTTGTTCTCTTCATCAGATATATCAATTGTTTCTCCAGAGAATCCATTTCTCATTTGAACCAAAATATGGTCCAGTTTTTCTGTTATCTCCACGGTGTCGTAACCACCAATGACTCTTGGCTTATTCTTGCGAGCAGAGGGCGCTGTTCCCTCTGACATGCTCCGCAGGAGTTTCGGATTTGACTCAGATTTGTCTGTTCTGTTTCTGCGTGTATCTCCTTGACCGGTTTCCTTTTTGGTCTTCCCGCTTCCATCATGATCGAGGCTTTTTGATTTCTTTACTTTGGCGTAAATCGGCATGGTGCACGAACGCTGGAGAGGCGGCGATTGGAATTGATTAGGTCTGGATAACCGATCGTACCCGGACTCGGTCGTGGTCTCCTTGCCAATCTTAGGCTGGTTCTCCAGGAGAGCCATTGATGAGGCGTAGGCTTCGACGTCTTGGTAGTCATTTGCAGGGACCGACCGCTCTGGGATGCTGTCTAATTTCTCGCAAGCTATCGAGTGTCTTTTGCCTGGGGCAGAGTCAGTAACCTTATCGGCGCTGATGATCTCCGCATAGTCCCCACTCCCACCACTCGCCACTGACAATCGTCGGCTTTCCCATTCGCTCGACGGAACATCTGGTGTTTCTGAAGTAACTTCCGAATCGATTGAACATTCTTTTTTGTTTCTCACCGACCAGGGCCAACGATTCCCGAAAGAATTCTTTGATTTACTTTTTGCTTTGTCCTTTATGGCTTCAGAATCTGATTGCCGACGTTGACTGAAGGAATCATCGCTAGGAGGTTGATCTGGGATTGATAATGTTCGGGGAAGTGTTCGTGCAGGAAGCGGTGGAGCAGTTTGATTTCTGGTAAGCGCTCTGGACATTGTGGCCGAACGTTCTCCAGACGGGAGACGACAGACACCCATATGGGCCTCGTCGCGACCAGACATGCCTTTGAAAATGAAACGACCCTCAAGAGACACTACATCCGTTACGGCGTAAGCACTTGCTGAAGATTCTGACATGGTACGCTCATGGATCCTAGACAATCCTTGATTAAGCATGCCTTGGTGAAGCTGATCTGAAATTTCCAATGGTTTCGTTTGGGGCCTTGCGTACTCATTAGGTGTACAAGGTGGCCCAAATGCTGGTGACTTTTCAGCATCTGGACTCCCCTTACTTGCTTTCTTCGAATAATCAATATCCTCTGCAGCTTCGTTACCTTCGGGCTCCAGTGTGACGTAGAACCTATCAAGGGTACATTCAGTATCAGATCCCATGGATTGTCGCTGCGTGTTCACTGCGTTATCTCCGATTTCAACGGCGCCACGTCCCTCCGCAGTCTTCGTATTTACAACACTCATTTCCAATTGTCCACAGTTACCATTACCATGTGCAGCTTCATTTTGCTGCAGTGTTAGGATTTGCTTTCGTCTCTTGCGAATAAAAAGGAGCACGACTAATCCGATGGCACATGAGAGCATAGTCACCAAGGCTCCTGCAATGGCGGATACAACAACTAATATCGAGAGATGCTTTGAGGAATTATCCCCATCACTGATTTCTGCTAGAGGCTGGATGGACAGGAATGGTCCTGTAGGTGATGGTAACGTTGTCGTGTATTTTATAACAGATCCAGACCTACTCGGAGACGTCTCAGTCTTAGCTCGTCTTGTTGTAACGTGATCAAGAGAAGGGGATGAGGAACCCTCAGCGTCAGGGAATACGTCACTAGGGTCAAACAGTTCGATATCAACCTTCCCAATTCCCCGGAAGGATCCATCAAGTGTTGACACAACGCAGGACAACGTGGAACCATCGTCTTCACGGTGGATCATCAGATTTAGCAACGAATGGCCGGTTCCATTAAAGATAAGCTCAGAATTAAGATACCATTCAAATAACAGGTTATTTGGGTCGTACGCAACTGGAAAGCACATGAACCCTTGCCGTATCAGTGGCGGGTGCTGAAACAAAGGAGGATCTATGACTACGTCAATCCGACGTTGCAACGGCGTGTACGTGCATTCCACTCTATTCGGATGGACAGATCCGTCGACCAATTCACATACAAACGTTCTGTTGACGTCCTCAATGGACAACTGACGATTGTGAATGCACGGAGACTGAGGACAGGCTACGAGTAGAGTTCTCCTTCCCCCTTCAATAATGGTCCAAGCTAGCGTTTGCGGAGGAGAACCTGATGGCGTGGCGCATGTGAAGCGAAACAGTGAACCAATGTTAAATATTCCTGGAGGAGCAATTGCTTCAGCCAAGCAAGCTGGCTCGTGTGGAATTGGACGATTCCTCGGTCGAACTATGAGACTGGCCTTATTCGAATCAAATACGTAAGATTCGGGTGTAATGGCAGAACAAAAGTATTGCCTTTGGTCTGACATGAGGACATTTTTAATAAAGAGGTTGTATTCTCCATGATTAGGATCCCCTTTGATGGATATCCTCTCGGTAAGCTCACCGTGCAGTCCGGCATACTTGTCAGTGTTCCTGTTCACGGACAAAATTCCTATAGAACCATCCTCGTCTAGATAACGCCAGTACAGGCTTGCGTCACCAAGATCCGTCACGGTACAACTTAGCATGGCAAGCCCGCCCTCTTCGACCTCAGCATCTATTGGGTATACCTCAAAGCTAGGTGTCGCAATCGATAGAAAAATCGTGCTTGAAATTATCAGGATGATAATAAGCTGATGCATCATGCTCGATTCCATCTTCATCTGCTATCACTCACACTTTAAACCTATGCGAAGAAAAGAGTCGTCTTTCTATTATTCATTCAAAGTTTTAGGAAACAAAATTAAGAAAGAAAATTCCGCATATTTCGCCCACATCTACACTTGCTACTGTAACATATGTGTGTGCTTGTTCTTTCCTGCTATGAGCATCAATGACGTAAATGAACCATATCTCTGCCACAGAGTTGGAAAGAATTAAGGTGATCGTGAACAAAATGCAAACCGAAAGAGTTTATTTAATATTGCGTTCTTCCTGACGTTAATCCCCGGATGTATGACGGTCAGGTGATCTGTTGGTAGCAGAGAGGGCGGGAAAAGGCAGCTGTGGCGGGAAAGTGGAGGAAGATAATCCAACGGTTCGTTAGCTCCGTGTGTCCTGGAATAGGGAGGGGATATAGAGGGAGAACGTGAAAGAAAAGTAGATGGGATAAAGAGGAATTGGTAGACAGGGAAGAGAAAGATAGAAAGAACAAAAGGAGATAAAGAGAAGGGAAAAAACAATTAATTAAAAATAGATATTAAACATTATCGTGTCGACAGTGGTTCTTATTTCAATGTTATGTAATAATGAGATATTTACAACACGATTGGAAAGGTTTTCGAGAAACTCTCATGCAATATTAGCCCATAGAACTCATGCTGATGTAGAAGTATAGCAAAGAAAGGTTTACCACAACAGTAGGCCTAACTGTATACGTGTATTGTAATGGACTCCTTTCCCATCTAAAAGCATTAAAAAGTGTGTTTCATACACACACTTCTCTTTTGTTTAAAGAACAGATTCCATTTCCAAATTCAAGATGACTGGTATCAGATCTCAATAGTAAAACAAGTGGGTTCAATATACAATCACTCCTCTTTTTCTTTAAGAACAGATTCCATTTCCGTATTTAAAATGACTGGTATCAGATCTCAATAATTTAAACAAAAATGAGAAACATATACACACACTCCTCTTATTCTTAAGGACAGGTAGCACTTCCATTTCTAGAAACTACTGGTATCAGATCTCAATAGTATGAAATGAGTGGGTTCCATACATATACACTCCTCTTCAATTCTTTAAGAACAGGTGCCCTTCCCAGACATCCGTCCTTTCCCATTCTTCCTTCCTTGATTTCCTGAGTTTGTTCTCAACCAGTGACCTGAAAGGTCATCTCGATCCAAACCAGTGGCGCAGCCCCGGAAAGGGGTGCACGGGGGTAAACCCCTACTGGATTTGCGAAATAAGAGAAAAAGAAAAGGTTGAGGATATTTTAAAGAATGGTGATGGGTCCCTTATTTCAATAGCATTTGTAACATCTGCCCCCCAACCCTCAAACACATCCTCCCACACACTCACTCAGACATGCGCGCACGCACACACACTAAATACCCACATACACCCATAGCCAGTTGATTTAGAGGTATAGTTGCCACAGCGGAAGTCGCTTCTGATTTGTTAGCCATTTCATTTAATTCCCTCCATTCATGATTTAACCAATGCCCACGCTTGCGTACCAGCGCGTGTCGCAACTATCTCTCTTATTACGCTGTGCATGACCCAACAGTACCTCCCCATTATTGACTATCCCGCTACGCCACTGTTAAAGGGAAAAAACGACCAACCGTTATCTGTTTCCGGTATAGCTAGATAGTGTATCCTGCACATTTCCTGTGCATACTGAAAGAAACTTCTGATGACGATGGAGAACGCCTGCACCATGTGTATTCCATTTTTATTATTTGATTATTTCAAAATGTAACCTCCCCCAAAAGGTGAATATCCCCACTTATCTCAGATTATTATTCGACAAAGGCAAACGGTAGTCTATTCCCAACTCGTATAACAATTTAGTAACAAATTAAACATGATTATAAAAAGAACTAAGATAGCAATATGTTGTTAGATAAAGGGAAAGTTCACCCTGATATTAAATTGATTTTGATAGAAACACAAAAAAAATCCAAAGAAAGGTCAGTAAAAATTTTGAGCAAGAACCGTTCAAAAATAAGAAAGTTATGAATTTTTGAAGGTACGTTCAATCAACCACAAAATCTCCACCCACTTTTCCCGTACTACAAAATAAATATCAAAAATGTATAGTTTCCCCTTAATTTCTTTTCTTTCAAGCAGACATTTACCCGAAAAAGATTTTTTGCAAATATGTTTCGTATTAAACACAATACATCCCGTCATCAATAAATAAGAAACTGAAAGTTAATGAAATTGTCTGTAAAGAGCAAATTCCAGAGAAGAGCGCAAGATACTTCACAGTATTGCCAATTCATGTTTCACTGGTGACAACTTTAAAAATGTTAAACTTCAATTGTTGTAATGGGATGTTGCTCCAACTTGCTTTAATTTGTTTCTCTCACATTTCTGATTTTACAAGAACCAAATTAATCTCAGGGTAGACTGCCCCTTTAATTTTGGCAATAACCATGACCAAAGCATTATATGTAAATACTTTGCAAACAAGTACAAGAACAAGCAAATGATGAGGTGCCAGAAGAAGAATAAGGAGGCATAAAGGAGAGTTAGAAGGAGACGAGATGGAAAGAGAAGAAGATTGCAGCATATTGTACAGTGCGTCCCAGAAAAAACAAAACCGAGATTTATCGATGTTTTATCATAACTTAATCACATTTATAATTAATAAATGACACATATTTGGAAAGCTTATATCCTCCTCTTTTATTTGATTTAACTCATTATGATGCATATTTCACACATGAGTGATTAAAATCAATTTGAAGAGAGGAAACCGAAAGGTCGTTTGGCGGGCCGCGGCGGTATCTGAATTTCAAAGAGGAAATCCCATTTCTAGAAAGTTCCTGCCCTTTCATATGACACCTCAATCAGGAAAATGAGCGAGGAATGACAAAGTTCTGTTTGTTTAATGTAGCCCTTACATTTTCATAATTTTAACAAACGAATTCGTTTTCACTGGGTGCCTGCCGTAGCAAAAAGCAGAATTGACAAAAGACTTAACTCCGTTTCGTTGACAATTAGCCATGCATGAAGTCTTTCGTCTACGGCTGGTTGTCAACGAAACGGAGTTAAGTCTTTTGTTAATTTCGTTTGTTGGTACGGCAGGCAGCCAGTGAAAACGAATTCGCTAAAATCAAATTATGGAAATGCAAGCACTACTTTAAACAAAAAGAACTTTGTTATTCCTAGCTCATTTTTCCTAAATGAGGTGTCATATGAAACGGCAGGAACTCAACTTTCTAGAACTGTGATTTTCTCTTTGAAATTCAGTTAACGCCCGCAAAACGACTTTTCGGCTTCCTCTCTTCAAATTGATTTTAATCACTCATGCATGAAACATGCATTATCTGAGTAGCATCAACTGAAAGAGGAGACTCTAAGCTTTCCAAATATGTATTATTCATTAATTATAGTTTTTAATAAGTTATGATAGAACATCGATACTTCTCGGTTTCGTTTTTTCTGGGACGCACTGTATAGTGTATATAGTGACTAAGTCCCTCACGCCGCGGCACTCCTGACGCTCTAACATTACCCCGGTAATAGCCGCGCAGCCAAGTGTATGTAGCGCTACAGTATATCACGTATTTGTTTACACCTGGGTGGAGAGTGGCAAATGTAGATTGATGTCTTGCTAAAGGACCTTTCTGAAATTCAACTTCACAAATACAACGACACCTAGCTTACATCAAGAAGAAAGATTGTTGATCATGATGATGATGATGGCGATGATCATGGTAGTGATGTTGATGGCCGTGATGATGATGGTGGTGGTGGTGGTGGTGGTGATGGTAATGGTGGTGGTAATGATGGAGGTGATGATGACGACGATGGTGGTAGTGATGTCGATGGTGCTGCTGCTAGTGATGATGATAACCGCGATGATGATGGTAGTGATGTTGATGGCCGTGATTATGAGGATGATGATGGTGGTGGTGGTGGAGATGGTAATGGTGGAGATGATAGTAATGGAGGAGATGATGATAATGGAAGACGGGGTTGGAAGATTCAACGCTAATATGTACCGATAGGGACTTCGGGAATCACCGGCATGCATATATAGTGCGGATGAGCAGACGGCAGACCATCTCATCTACCACTGCCCTGTTCCCCAACCAACTGATAGTATGACTGATCTGCTCAAGTCAACTGGCTTACCCAGCTTCAAGAAATAGTTTGATATATATAAATACTACTACTACTACTACCTCATAAGAGAGAAGGAGGTGATGATGATGATGATGATGATGATGGAGGTGATGATGGTGGAGATGATAAAGGTGGTGGTGATGATGATGGTGATTGTTGTTTGTATTCAAATGATAAAACATGAGCTTAGACGGTACAGATGAACAATTCTTTCAAATTAATATAACAGTGGAATTTCAATAGCAAAAACATGCTGTTCTGTAATGAAGAAATTGTTCTACCCCTAGCCGACCCAAAATGCCATAATGGCCATAATCAAACCGTGGAAATTATGTTAAATTTCGCTGGCCTAATTATACAGTTATTGACTGGCAGGGGGTGTAATATAACATTCTTTGGACCTGAAGGGAGTTATATTTCCCAAGTGGTTAGTGGTTAAAATTCTTTCCCCAAAAAACTTTTTTTTGGGGAAAAAATCAAAATTAAAAAAAAAAAAAAAATTATCCAAAAAAGCATTTTGGGGAAAAAAAAGAAAGTATGGAAAAAATAATTTCAAGGTAAAAAAAAATTCAGGAATTTTTTTTTTCACCAGCCGGTAAAATATAACCAACCAGGAAAATATAACCAACCAGGAAAATATAACAATTTGGATCCTTGCAATTGATATCATGTGACAAGCTCTGGACCAATCACATCTCGGTATCTGTCTAACCTATCTAATATAAATCATTATATTACATTAAAACTTTTTTCTTTCTAATAACAATATAAAATGTTACACCAGTCTGAACCCTTAAACAATGTATTATCCTCATATTCATCATAAGATATATTCTCCCAAAGTAACACAATTATCGTCAAAACAGCGATCTCCACGAGTTAATTTTGCTTTCGTGTGAGGTTGTTTTTAGAAGCATCTTGCGTTGCGTATTTCGCGAGTTATATGAATATCGATGCTATTTTAATTACTAATTAAAAGACTCAAGAATAAAAATGTCCGGTAATATAATTAATTAAATAGTATATGCCCATAAAACAGCTGATCAACACACCTTGTGCGCTGAAATAAATGCAAGGCGAAAGACGAGATCATCTCTATAGGTTTGTTGAAAAAAAAGTTGAAATACTAAATAAACGCTTTAGATTGAGCACATGGTTTCTAACAATTTTAACAGGTTTAACTGACAACTAATAATTCAAGAATTTGAGGTTTTTGGGAAAGAGCATTCTAGGTAAAACAGATCAATGTCTTAGAGAAACAGATGTACCTAAATTTTGCCATGAAACATGTTAAAATTTCAACAACTTTTTTTTTAAATCAAAAAAGTTTTCCCCATAAAATGCTTAGCGGTGATGAATTCTGCCCATTGCTTCATATAATCATGACCATTTTAACAGATCATGATACAAGTAAACATCTAAATATCTTGAAAGCACGATCGGATAGCTTGGTCTCATTTTGTGCCTGTATACAAATGTGTTTGAGAAAAGATGAACGTACCTGTTCGCTGAAAAAGGGCAAGCCGAAAAACGAGATTGTCTACAAATGTTAGTTTTTTCCCAACAAATGGCTCACCAGTGAGTAATTCCTTGTAATCTTTCAAAAAGTTATTAAGAGATTATAACACGAGTTCGAAGAAGGGCAAAATATCTCGGCTCAAGATTTACTTGGCAGCGTCCAAAAGTATGCCTTCGGTCCTATGCGGTATGAGAAGAAGATGAAGGCACCCTTTGCTTTGTCTACCGGCTGGACGTATGGAATGATAGTCCCCAAATGTTTGTGTTCAAAGAGGTTTAACAAACTAAATGCTAAATGCTAACCTCGGATGTAGGGAAGAGGTTTGTCCTTTTTTTTTGGTATAGCGAAGTTCACACGAGAGTCCGTTAACCTTAAGTGAAGCTCGTGGTTTTAAACTACGAGGTCATCTCGTAGTTAAGGACGGTATAAACGCACTCATAGTTCTCAAAAAGCATGTTAACCCGAAGTTTTAAACCACGGGCGTCTGTTTGGTACGGGCGATAACTAGGAGTCATTAACCCTTTATCTGCTTTGTTCGACTAAAGGCGTCTCCATATATGGCGCGGTAAGCCGACGCAAACAAGCTGTGCCACCGATTTTTTTGTTACAGTTTAAAAAAAAACACGTTTATATGAATGGCAACTGCGTGCAACCAAGGACTTGCTCGTATTCATTTAAATTGGCGTTAAAAGAGAGAGTGGGCAATCTTTTTTTCGCAAGCATGTATAATTTTTGATAGATGAATTTTCTACTTACAACTGCCTTCCCAGGTTGTAGTTTAAAAATTCGAGCCCTCATTGTTTCGTGGTAAAACTTCGTCGTTGTTAGTAGGGCATTTTTTTAAAACTTGGCTAAGTTACACTCAAGTCACAATGCCACACCGACACCATACCGACTCTACACCGACTACATACCGACTGCATAAATAATGTTCATATTATATTTATTCTTGGGGGCCTACAAATAACAAACTTTGCTTTCCAGTAGATTCCTGTTTCATTTCATAATTTTAAACTTACTTTGTCAACTATGTTCTTTATTGTGGAAACATTTGATATGAAATCGAGTAAACTTCAAATCAACCCAAACCGACTACATACCGACTCCATACCGACTCCCTACCGACTACATACCGACTCCATACCGACGTTATACCGACTACATACCGACTCCATACCGACTACATATCAACTACCTACGTACTACATACCGACTCCATACCGACTCCATACCGATTCCATACCGACTACATACCGACTCCATACCGACGTTATACCGACTCCAAACTGGCTTGATTCTTTACGTTTGGGGTAGTGTACGAATTACTCGGTCTGCTGTCGGTTTGGTGTCGGTCTCGTTGGCTTGGCTGTGGTTTTAAAGTTTGATCCTACGGGAACGACGCCGTGCAAACACAATACCGACTACATACCGACTCCATACCGACTGTGGTAATAAAGTTTGATGCTTCGGGAACGACGCCGTGCAAACACAGCTTCTGTTTCATTGGTAGGTTTTGTTTATTATCAGAATGAGTCATATCTAAATGTGAAGATTCCACAGCACCGGTAAACTAGACCTTGGTGCTAGTCTTGGATAACCGGACCTCGACAATTCCGGTATTAAACAGAGAAAAACGAAAACGGTTGTACAGCTCCTGACCGGTTTAATTACTATCATATTTAAATGTATGGATGTTTATTTTCTGGGGACCTAGGGACGAGTTATTCTGTTAACCTGTAATTAATTAATGAACTACAATACTCGGAATCCAGTCTGCGTACATTATTTGTCGCTTAGTTGGGCAAGTCTCCAGCAAACTTTCAGGTTGTCAAGAACAACCTCTGTTTTAAAAGTATGCATACCAATTTAGTATGTTATGCTACGGTCACAAAGGTTCGTACGAACGGTATTTTCGTACGAATCTCCCCGTTTTTCCATTGTCTGAAAATCGTTTGTACGGCGTTCGTAGCAGTTCGTAATAGCATTTGTGACCGAGGCTTAAACCGTTCTATTGCTCCACGTCAATTTCTAGCAGCATTCGAGTTCTTAATATCAATTTTGGCCTAACCAGTAACGCTAAACCAAACCTAAAACACGATTGCAACCCTAACCCTTACCCTAATATTATACCTTTGACGAAATACCCCAAGAGCAATTTTCGCTGAAGCAAATGTCGGCGGAGTCACCTTGAAAACACCAACTTTCTGATCTTTGCAGCCAGTAGAGGCCGATCATGTGGCAGTTGTGGTAGTTGTGGTGATGGCGTGCGTGTGTATGTGGGTGTGGTGGGAGGGGGTACCTTGGCAGAATTCAAGTATTATATACGGGGTTACCTGAGGAGTATCCACTTTTAGCGGAGCCGTGCATGGTACCCCTACTACCGATGAAACTTTTTTTTTAATGTATAAAAACAGCAACAAAAATAAACAAACGAAACAAAACAAACAAAGCAAATAAACAATTGTCACTACAGCTAATCGAATTCCACAGAATGCATGTAAAACACTGCTTATGTAATGTATAAATTAACTCGTAGAGCCTGAAACGGTGAGGGTGACGGCTATACTTTGTCTGTTTTGTATAGATCGAATATATACATATCCGATAATAATTCCTCGTGTTAAATAAATATGGTGAAGGAGAGAAGATTCAGGCTTTAAATCCGACAGTTTTTATTAGGTCACGAGTTTCGACCTACGGTACGTCATCAAGTGACTCATACTGGGCTAATATATATATATATATATATATATATATATACATGTATGAAATGTGCTAACATGAATATGACGTATCACGTAATATATGGGACATACGATAGGGTTTTTAAATTGCCCCTGAGTTCAGTGAATTCTCGAAAGTAGTTGCATTTGTGTTAATCATAATTATTGTCACCACTTCAATCTGAAATATATGGGAGTAAAAAGCCTTTCTTTAAAGCTGAGCACCAATCGAATTCGCACATGTACATGTATAATATAAACATGGAGATCATGATATTATTGTCAGTATACCAGTAGAGAGGCTGATAATGTAATTAATCTGTGATAATCTCTCTTTTTGTTTGAGTGTGTTTTCCAGCGTTTCGCATCGCTGCTAGTCTGGGCATCATATGGACCTGTGAGGCTGTGACCTTCACGGGCGGGCTATCAAGTGGGAAATGAGATGACCGGACTCGCACATGATCAACCAGCTCAAGGAGCTAGCTGCTAAGCATTCATAATGTCGTGTTATCTTCAAGGTATTGTTATGAACCCTAGATGCCTCTCTTTTTCTAAAATATTATGTGTCAGAACTATACAAAATAGACTGTATTCTTAATTTTGCCTTGAGCGATTCTACTTTTTTGCCGTGAAAAGTTGGCTTGTATAATGTTAGCTAATTCCTGAGTGGTGAATTGCAGTTTGATCTACAAACCATATACATTATAGCGACGCCCATGGACCCTGATTCAAATCAATAACAAAATGCCAAATTTCTGTGACAAAGTTGCTCTCAGCCAATCAAATGCCGCGATTTCAGTAGCTTATAACAGTTATTGTAACTTGTTATTGATAACATATGTTTGATCTCTGTTTGATCTTTGTCTCGTGGTGATGATGAATTGCGCTTTATGATTGTTTCCGGTTTTTCTTTTTATGCATTATCACTCGTCTGTCTCCCATATGTCACTCTCTGTCCTTCTCCTCATCTGAGAGAGAAAATTTTAAGGTTAAAGGTATTATACCAGTTTTGGTAACGCCCCCTCTCAAAAAATGAAATGGAAGCGCTTATTACCAATAATGTGAAAGAATATGTTTTAACTAATACGTGATGATACAAAGTTTTGCCGGGAAACCGCCTACTAATTGATATATTTGGTCAATTATAATATCTATCCGGCCTGGATAGATATCGTGTAGTCTCGTATTCACCTTTCTGTGTACAGTGCGTGTAACTTTACCAAGACTGGGCCTAATTTTTTTTATCGTTTTGATGATTCCAGAACCTTGCAATACTTATATGCTAGATGATCAACCTTTTCTGATCGATTCCACAACGTTTCTTTCACAATGCAATCGCATGACAAGAACTGGTCTATACCTTTAATGATAATACTAATTACAATAATGGGTTCTTGTATAGCGCTCATGTATGGCACTCTTGACACTACTGGTGCTCCACAATTATTATTACCCCGGCTTTAGCATGGCTGCCATGTTGGCGCTATAGCATTTTAAAAGAAATTAATTCATGCCAGGTACCCATTTACCTCACCTGGGTCGAGTGTGGCAAATGTAGATAAATGTCTTGCCAATTAAAGGACGTTAGTGCTGCAGCGGGACTCGAACCGCGAACCATGTGATACAAGGTTCGGTGACTTAACCATTAGACCAATGCACCTCTAAAAACACTTCTATAAGACATATTCTTCCACTAACCGAACTCAGTTAAAGCCACATAGTAGTCAGTGTCCATGTGTAGTATAATTCGCTGACTGCATATTTGGTTAATTTAACAATCAATGTGTATGTGCGTGCTAATATCTATGAAGCAGCGAACCCGTGGTCCCACCAGAAAATAATCCAACTTGCCCTCATATTATCTCGAGGGCGCGGGAAATTCAATATGTTGATGAGAATCCTTTATGGCAGTAGACTAGGGTACAGTGCATTACACAAAACTTGTTGGTAGAACAAAAAAGTGAAATGCACTCTTGGAGTCTAATTTCCCATGAAAACTCAATACTATATGAGACTTAAACTTCGACACTCGACCAAACACTATACCTAACCCTAACCCTAAAGCTACTCAAACACCAAACCATACATTTATGTTTGACGAAACAAAGATTTTCATATACGACACATCCTCCGGCGATCAGTGAATCGCGGTCAATATCCTAACCTAATTGATCCCGGACTTTGACAAATCTTTGTAGCAACGGAAATAACTTCCACTATTTTGAACCAGGAAATAACCTGATAATTGAACTAAATATTTAGAACAAAATCTCGCCACAAATGTAAATGGTGAAGACAAACAAATAGTCTCGTTTTGCAGACACTGTTACGCCACCGCACCGACTAACGAGGGCGTGTGCCTGCAAACGAGGGGTGGAGTGCCAAACGCCTGCTGGGCCCTGTTTCATAAAACTTGATATCAATAACATGTTACAAGCTACTGTTATAAGCTACTGAAATGAGGACATCTGATTGGCTGAGAGCAAATTTGTCATAGAAATTTAGCATTTGTTAAAGATAACAAGTTTTATGAAACAGGCCCCAGTTATGTTATTTCAGCGGCCATTTCAGCCATCTGGGACCCGTTTCACAATGGCTTTTTTTCAATGACAAATGACAAAAATCAGTGACAAAGCTGCTGAT